AAATAGCTGCCGTTCCACCTCTTCAACACCAACGCACGCCACTACTTGCTCACACGTGCGCTGTGGTGAAGTGGTATACACGCGCGCATGGCTCAGTGCGTGCCCGGGTTCAAGCCCCGGTGGCTGCAATTGCAAGACTATGGATTTATAATATATCCGGGAGCGGGGCGGGGCGGGGCAGCGTGGGCACGTGGCGCGTGCGTGTGCGTGCGGCGGCCTTGGCCTTGGCGCGCACGTGCGTGGTGACGCTCTCTCTTTTCGCCACGTGTCCGCGCTGTTTTCCACCAAAAAACCCTGAAAATCCCGCTGTCGAGATTACACCTGTTTTCCACCAAAAAAACCCTGAAAATCCCGCTGTCGGGATTACACCTATCCCGCACCCGCTGTTGCCTGCGGGGGGAAGGGCGGGTTGGAGCCGGGACCGTTCCCGCTCTGATACCAGTGTGCCGGACCCGCCGGGATGACGGTCCGTTAGGATGGAGACGAAGAAGGAGGCAGAGATGGAGCTGGAGGGGACAGCGCAGCTCCGACGCAGACTCCACACGCAAGTAGTCCAAGATCTGCGAAAGTGAAGAATGCCGAAAAACAGACTGCAGCTGGGGTATACCCCCAGCGGACTGACTGGACTGGACTGGACTGGCCTGGTACCGACCGTGGTACCGGGCGGGATTGGACTGGACTGAAACAATATACGGCCTGTGGGGTCAGGCCACGGCCTGGTCCCACAGGCCGAACTGGCAAATAGCCAAATAGGCCCTGGCTGTAGGCCAGGGCAGATGAAGGCCCGCTGCAGTTCGGCTCTTGTCATCCCGGGCTTGCACTCAATCTTATAGGAGATATTTGCCATATCAATATAGTCCTAATGATTCATAAAAAAACAATACATGACCGCTTGGACCTTAGGGATGTAAGAAACCATATTTGGGCTTTCCACTTTGATTCTCACTCTCCAATATCACCAACCATTTCATCTCTCTTCCATCTATCCTCATGTGCTATAATCACGTCTTTGACTTTTTTTTCTGAAAAAGACTGGCACCCTACGGAAGATAACAGTAAGTGCTCTATCTTTTCGTCACTTGACTTTGATCTCATTCAGTGAGTTGCTAAGCTTGAATCCCCCCTTTTGTGCTGTCAACCTCCACCTCCTGGATCTATATTAGTAGGAAGAATTCCTTCATTGTAACATATCCGCATTATTTCTTGGATACGTTCCTCTTCTGGCAAGCATTTGCTCAATACCTGAGGAGGAGACCAAACTCGTCTGTCACCCTGCTCCATTGCCTCTCCCTCCATGGGAGCCGACAACACAGACGTATGTTCACAACTCTTCTCCTTGCCCTAAACTTAATTCTTCTACAGAGGAAATGGCAACTATTCTCGCTTGGTAGAAACGGGGTGACCCCCAACACCCCGACTACATCAACTTTTTCACTTACTATGGAGGGCCAGAGGGGACGGCTAGGTGATTCACTATCAGCATCCACCATAGCTAAAGGAGACGCATGCCATGTGCGTAGGGACTCTCTATGAGGAAGGAGGAAGGAGATAACATCCGCTGCAGGGCCATTCAAGGTGGTAGCACCTGCAGAGCAGGCGTAAACAACCAGTAGACGGTGCTTAGACCGGTGCACCAGTCAACCACGTGGGATGGGCGCCCCCGTCCGCCGACCGCCCTGCTGGTGGGACGTGGCCCGAGAATGTGTGCATAGTCAGTCTCTGCCGAGTCAGTGGCCCAGCTACCAGCGGAAGTTCTAGAAGCCGAAGGGGATTTGATCGAGCGGCATCTCTCTGCGCACTACACGGGGGAATCGTGAAGGAAAACACAGTGGGCCCATGACTGCGTTCTAGAAGTTCGAGGAGTTTCGTCGGCTGGCGTAAGAACCTCGTTCCACCGCTCGCCAAATCTTAAAATGGCGAACGGATCTGCCCTCGTTCTTCGGCCAGGTACCTTCAATATTCTCGCATTTGGCGAGCGGTGGAAGGAGGACGCCCCACCATATTATAAGTAAGAATACAACAAATGAGGTAAGTAAGAGATCATTCTTGCGTTCCCGCTTCGCCGGCGGCTGCCCTAAGGTCCTTTTCCTTTTTTACTGCCCTAAGATCCTTTTCTTTTTTTACCTTTTTTATTTATTTTAATTTCCGTCCTTTTTTCCGTCCTTTTCACCCCCTTTCCTGCAAGACCCCCACGCCACGTCCGTAACCCCTTTAACCCCTTTTGCTTGCACCTGTTCCGACGAGCGTCATTCGAAAGGGAAGATTGAGATGGTTGGCAAAAATGAGTGGCGGGGATGTGGCTATCGAAGTTTGAAGTATACGGAACACCCTACCCAATACCCAAACAATAGGGGTCCAGGAAAGGAAGGATGCATTGGGGGAACTCTGGAAATTGGAATAGAACGCAGACAGATTTTGGCGGTAGGCGCCGCGTGTGACACGCGGGAGATAGCCGGAAGACTGGCCCACAAGTTTTATTTGTCTATGTAATTGCGGCTACGGGCAAGAAACGTGGGTGTTATTCGCGCTGTAGTTTTCGCGTCTCCATCTCTGTGACGATCTCTCTCCCCTCCCCACCTGCAGCCACCGGTAGCCGACGATTTCTTTCCCGGTTGGCGACACGTGGCACCATGTTCCGCAATCTTCTGCGAGCTGCGCCGGCGGCGCGTTCGGTCGCCATCGCTGCTGCAAGGTATGGTAATCTTTCATCAATCGAATGCGCATTTTTACTTTTTAGCAAGAGCAATCTCTGCTCTCCTTTGCTGTATCTCTTCCTATGACTTTTTCTTCTCTACTCTCCTTTGCTTTATCTCTTTCCATTTTTTTTTTCTTTCAGATCATGGCTGCTACTGTTTTTGAAAAGGATGGTCGGGGGTGCACTCCATTTTTAGAGATTGAGGAGTATGCGGCAGATGCAGTGTGTTGTAGTTTTCCCGGTTCTACAGGGGAAGCTGCTGCAGTATGATGAACCCAAGGAGCCGGCGAGAGTGCCGATGATAGAGTGGTGAGCAGAAACGACAAGTTGTCCTGAAGCTAATAACAAGCTCGTGCGTGTTCAGCTGCTCTTTTCAGTGTCTGCCATTCCTCAGAAAGTGAAGTCCACACTTCTATCAATGGCATTGAGTTGTCATATGCGTAGTTTTTTTTTTTCTTTCTCCCCCCCCCTTTTGAATTGGCGGCTAACGTCCACCGTCGGGGGTTTTGCATGTTTGATTTCGTCGTGGCTGACTGGGGTTGCGGTGGATGCGTTCTATTTGTCCTTTGTTCGATTTCTGTCTGCGGCGGGACGTCGACGTTCGGACGTCTGGGATGGGGAACTGCGCACTTGATACGTTAACCTCAACGCCAGGCGCAACGCAGCGGTAAGTAAATTTTCTGTGTTCAGGATGTGCATGAAACCGCCTTTCAATGAAATGCGGCAGCCCGCTCTTGATTAGTCAATCAATAATCACTGACCTCTGCGGGCACTTTCATCATGTGCATGTTGAAGAGGTTCTCTGGGACGATGATGGATGTGTTGCTGGTATTTTTGCAGAGGTGTTCAGAGGCATGTTGGTTATTAATTGCTTGAGACTGCTTCGCATCCTTATAAATACATATGTACATGTATTTATGGCGTTATATTTATATATATGTATAATATACATATGAATATATATAAGTACGGATGAGCTGAAGTATGCATGTGTATTTATGACGTGGAAACCTATGAATAGTAGTGGAAGAGAATGTTATCTCGTACTCCGTGTTCTTGTATTGAAAAAATGATGAGAGGTTTTGCTATCGAGTGGCAGGATCTGTACGTGGTCCTTATCAGAAAGGAAGTCCATATGCGTATACATATAAATATACATAAAAAACTATAGGTATTGTGATGACCTATGAATAGTAGTGCAGGAGATAATGCTGTCTTTTTCCGTCTCGTAGTCCGTGTCCTTGTATTGAAAAAATGATGAGAGGTTTTGTTATCGATTGGCAGGATCTGTTCATGGTGATTATCAGGAAGTCAGTCCACCGCACTGAATATATATCAACCACGCTCTTTCCCCGTTGAGATCACGGCTCTGCGATCTAGCGGTGATGTCCGCCGTTTCTATGGATTTATCATCAATGCGGCGTGTCATTCAGCGTGCGTATGAGATTACACGGCGGGAAGTCAGTCAGGCGTCGATCCCTGTAACGACTAATTCGCAGTTGATCGTCGCACGGCGGGAAGTCGGTCTTCATGAGTTGGCGCAAGAGGTTGCATGATTAGGTTCCTGTCATCATGATTGGAGATTACAGGTCCGCCAGACGGTTGTGTTATAGCCACTTGTTCGTCGATTCTGGTCGTGTCGGATAGTTAAGTATATGTACAGGTTTGGGCCATTCAATCAAATTCGAGGATTTTTATTTTTATTTCCAGTCCCCTTTCTTTCAAAGAGGGAAATTTGAGTCTGCGAAATTTTTTTGAGTCTGCGGACAATTTTCCTCTTCTTCTGACCAGAACAGACGAAATTGTTTCCACGTCGCTCTGTGATTTCGGACCAGAACAGGTGGGTTCAGAAATTAAAAATATATATGTCGAAAAAAAAGAAATTGATGCATGCGATCGCTCTGTGTTTTCGGAACATAGACTTGATGAGTGGATCATTAGAACTCAATCGATCGCTATTCTTCTGCACATGGATTTGTGTTCCCTCTGTGTGTGTGTGTGTGTTATTGTCACAATTTTGTACCCCGGCGATGTCGCTGGCTGCTCAGGTTACCGAACAGTCCATTCACCGGTTCCGTCCCCCAGCTTTTTTTTCCCCGTGACCGCCCTACGCATATCGCATCTCCCTTGTGGTAAGTTTAAATGTTCGATTATATCGCATATTCCTTGTGGTAAATTTAAATGTTCGATTATATCGCATATCCCTTTTGATAAGTTTAAATGTTCTTTATCTCCTTCTCCTCCAGCCTCCGACTGCGCTCTTCTTAACTCTGTAGCGCTGTGGTCCGCGTGAATGTGTGTCAGGGATCGTCGCGCCAGACGCAGTGGGTTCGGCATTTCGCCTCGAAGCAAATCGAATATGGAGTTACCGCGCGAGCTCTTATGTTGCAAGGATGCGAACAGCTGGCGGACGCAGTCAAGGTCACCATGGGTCCGAAGGTACGAGTGAAGCGAACGGCGGTAAAAATTTCGATGTAGGGAGGTAAAAATTGAACGTCGGGAGGTATTGACAGGGCGTTGATGATGGGCACCACAATAGATTGAAAAGCCGGTTCATCCAAATCGAAAAATGCACGAGTCTTTTCAGTACAAAATCGAAGAGCTTCGAGAAATGACAGATGAACTGTAGGGAAGCGAAGTAAGACGGAGTAATTGTGAAGGTGAGATGGTAAATAATTGGAAATGGTCTTTGGGGGGGGGGGGAAGGGAGGGGAGAGAAGGGGCTGAATGCAGTGCGCCTAATTGCGAACGAGAGGGCAAAATGGCGGAGATGGTCGCTTGGATCGAGTGAGGGAAGGAAGGGCAGAGGGTAGGGTGATTGTTAGGTTGCAGCAGTGCTGAGCTCATGAAAGGAAATGTTATGAATGATGGGGGTATGAATGATGATGACTTTTAAGCAGGACGCTCGTCCAAGAAGAAGGATATATATTATATATATGTGAGGAAGGAAGAGTGGCCTTGTGGAATCTACGTACTGTCAGTGGGGACCACAATGCAGAGGCGACGGGGAGTGCGGGAAGTTCTATCTACGTACTGTCAGTGGGGACCACAATGCAGAGGCGACGGGGAGTTCTCTGTGAGGTGTTTAAGAGTATGCACGTGTGATGAAGCGAGGGAGTAAGAGAAGCCCTTTGTGAACAAGAAGGCAGGGTAGTAGTAGTACAAGTGGGAGAAACGAAGGCCCCCTGGGGGGGCGGGGGGGTGAGGGTTTGGCTGGGGCGCAGGATCTCATGTGTGTGGGATAGTGTCTAAATCTCAGCCTTAGTGTTTCCGGGGGGAATAACTTGAATGGGGCATTCATGAAGCCATTGAGAGGAGCTGGTTGAAGGTCTCGAAGTCGTCGTCGTGCCTAGAGCACAGGTAACGAATCGATAGTCCTGAATGAAACGACTGGGTTGCTTAAGGTCATCTCGCTCTGTGTGAAGAGGTGCCGCTAATCTGCCGTTATGAGGAGATGGACAAGGTATTGCAGTGGGGTATTGTACTTGTCGGTCATCTCTAAATTCAATGCACGATGAAGTCATAGACAGGCTGGGTGTTTGGTGATTGCCCATTAACAAAGTACATGGCAGGGGCTTCTTTGCCAGGTTGTTTAACGAAATTGTATTTGAGGGGCCTGACGTGGTATCGCGTCTGTAATGTATGTTTCCTCGTTCGGTGTATAGGGCCTCTGCTGTCTGAGCGTTGTGATGAGCGGGGACGTGTGGCTGTGACTGGGGTTCGGTGTAGGGACTCTGCTGTCTGTGATTGGGACGAAGAGCGCTGGTTATTTGCGTAATGAATGAATAGAAGGTGGTTAGGTAGATTCTTTTTGTTTTTTTAAATTATTATTATTGTTTTTTGAATTTAGCGAGTTCCTCACGTTGAATAGGCTTTGTCGAGCTTCCATGCAGCAAAGCGTTTGTCTAGCGTGCTACTTGTTGCAGGTGAATGTTGTTTGAGTTTGATGATGTCTGAATAAGCGGCCTGATCAAATTGTTGTGTATGTGTATGACAGGGCCGGAATGTTGTGATTGAACAAAGCTTTGGTGGCCCGAAGATAACGAAGGATGGAGTCACTGTCGCTAAGAATATCGAGTTTAAGGACAGGTGTAAGAACCTAGGAGCGAGTCTTGTCAAACAAGTGGCCAATGCCACGAATGACGTTGCCGGAGACGGTAAGTGTGCCTACAGCATCCGTCTTCCTCATCATGCCATATTCTGTATCTTGATTCATATCCCGAATCTTATCCTGATTCTTTTGCATGAATCTTCAATTCATGCGCTCTCTGTCGTTTCTGTCGTGGTCGGCATCAGATCTCTGAGCGGTGTAATTCGGTGCGCTCCCTTCTCAGGTGACATTTTTCCCGCGATACGAGGAAGAAATAGGGTTTTGTCTGACCGGGAGATGACCAATCTACCAAGTCCGAGTGTTGCTCTTCTGCATGGGATGATGGAAATTTGCAAGCGAGGTGGAGGTTGGGAAGTCGTGCGCATGGAAAGGCTTTGGAGATTCATTCGTGGGGTGGATTGTTTGTGAACATGCCCATGAAGTTCGCCCATGGGGCAGACGACGGCGACTATGTGTGGGATGGAAGGCGAATTTTACCTATGGGGTGTATTGGGGAGATTGAACCATTTGGCTGGATGGTGCTGATGAGTGTCATTGGCTGGATGATGCAGATGTGGGGAGAGGGCTCCTGGGGCGGACTGCGACAGAAAAACAGCGGTCCATTGAGAGGGCGATGGGGATTCATTGCGTTAGGTGTGTAGGGCGTGTGGTGGAGGTTCGACTATGTACGTGGCGGCGGGAATTTGGCGTTTGCCTTGGTGGGAGGGTGGATATTGCCTACGCGGCCTGATGTGGGGGGAATTGACGAATGAGGCGGAGGGATGGAGATGGGCTTATCGGTGGGCTTAATTATACAGTGTTTGCTGAACAATGCCAAGGACCGGGCCATTGGAAAATTTGTTGTACTACCGTCTTCACCCCAATAGAACGCCCGGTCATTATAGCTGTATTTCGCACAACTTTCGGTCCAGATGCACAGCGATTATGATCGGGCGTTCTATTCGGGTGAAGACGGTAGGCGATTAGCTGGGCGCAAACGGCTTCTGGAGTGACCGGATGGTGGCGATTGTGATAGACTCGGTGATTGGATGGCAGGGATTTGTAAATTGGCGTCGTCGCGTAGACGGCGGCAATTTTCCATGGTACGAGGCCCTTAGACCTGGTCTGGGCGGGAGTTTTTGTAACAAAATGAGAATGCCTATGTAGGGTTTTCGGGATATTGCCGACGAGGTGGTCACCGGAGACGACAGGTGCCGGTGTCATGTGGACAGGGTGGAGAAAGGTTGAGGAGGATGGATTCTGTAATAGGAGTGGCACGAGGCCGTTCTCCTAGAGCAGTGGATAAGTCGAAAGGGGAAGGAGGAGGGGGGGGCGGCTTTGGACGTCAAAATAAGCCCAGACCGGCAGGGCCGAAAAAGTCGATGAACTCACGATGATGTTAGATCCTTTGAGGATAATGAAACCGATCAAGGATTGAGGGGTTAGTATATTTGTCACATCGAAGACGGATTGTGAGTATGGTAATAAGTGCTGGGGACAATCGCGAGCATTTGGACTGCATCGGGATTAGGGTGAAGAACCGTCGCCGATCGTTGTACATAGCCCACCTGACTTAGCGATTGGTATTGTATGGCTCTTCGAATATGCTTCGTTCGATTAATACCGTGTAATTAATTGTCGTGTGTTGATTGATGTATGCGATGCAGGGACGACATGTGCGACCGTTTTGACACGTGCTATCCTCGTAGAAGGCTGCAAGTCGGTCGCCGCCGGGATGAACCCTATGGACCTCCGGAGAGGCATCAACAGCGCGGTGGATAATGTTGTCAGTCAGCTCAAAGGCAGGGCGAAGATGATCAGCACCTCTGAAGAGATCGCTCAGGTGTGTAACGTAACGTAACGTAACGTAACATCTTGTAAACTTGATATATCTCAACGTAACGTTACGTTACGTTACGTGAGCCGTCCGTTTGGAGTAAATTTCATGGCAGGTGGTGTTGAAAGGTAGCTTTGCGTGCTCGAGGATATGGAACATTCTGTTTGCCAGCAGGCGTGTTACATCAATGCCTGGGTATTGAATTTGTCCGTTATATATAGATAATGTCGTTTATCTTTTCTCAGGATTTGTGAAGGGATATCTTGATTGTGCAGTGAGAAATGCAAGGGCGATGCTTGGGTTCCTGTTTACTGTGCATGAGTGGGATGTGTCTCCTGGTTGTTGACTGTTTGCCACTGTACCGCTGCGCTGGTTCACAGGTTGGCACGATTTCTGCGAATGGTGAGCGGGAGATCGGAGATCTGATTGCGAGAGCGATGGAGAAAGTTGGAAAGGAGGGTGTCATCACTGTAGCGGTAAGTGAATGGTGTTGGCCGAGCTGCTTTGTCGAGTATAACGATGCTTTGCTAAATTCATGAGGATATGGCATTAGGGGACGGAATCCATGCTAGCGACTGACTGCGCCTACCTTCTTGCGCCGAATACAACGTACGGTCATTATAGCCGTATCTAGGGTATCTTTCAGTCTAAATACAGCTATAATGACCGGACGTTGTCTTCGGGGACAGAAGGTAGCTACGTGAGTGTGTTCCTGAGGATGATGGCAGCAGCTGAAGATGGAACGCATCAGGTCTAGTGTTATGGCGTTGACGCTTGATGAGGAAACCGGCGCATGATGTGTATATGATGCCATGGGTTCCGGTCCCGGTATATGATGGACGTTCATAGCATCGGTATAATTCTCGTACGGTGATTGCGGGTGACGATGTGGTGGGGGGATGGAAGAGGAGGTGCGCACGGTTTAATACGGCTAGGGATGGGCGACTCTGAAGCCGAATGAACTAGGTAGTCCAGGTATAGTACGGTACCAGTGTGAAGATGTAATGGTCGTGGTATGCCATCGAGGGGCAGTAACGTTTGATGGTTGGGGCTGATGGTGGGATGGAAGAGGGGGGTTGCACATTGTATCTCTTGATGGATGGGTATGACGAAGCAGAACGAACGTGTGGTGGGTGTACCAGTGGAATGTTAAATATCAATGTTGATGAAACAAATAAGAATTGCATTCTCACTCCAGACAACAATCTGTCCGTCCGCACCGATGCAAGGATCGAACACGCGACCTCCACGTTAAGAGGTAAACACTTAACCAAAGGGCTAAGTGGACTGGGGTGAAAGTTAAGCCCCAAGATGAGTACTTAACCCCACCCCAGCACGGGTACTCGTTTTTCCCCGCGACACGGTGTACCCAGTCACACACGCGCACCCAACCAGGGTGATCTAGCTTTTGCTTGCTACACGGATGAATCTCGAGTACATCGACATCTTCCCCATGGCACGCAGGGTTTGTGTGAATGTTGATCGGGCATGGATCGTTGCGTATGTGTGTGTATTGATAGGAAGGTAATGGCCAATCACTTGGATTGATAGGAAGGCAATGGCCAAACACCTGCTTCTGAACATGATGCTAATTACGTGAAACAACAGTACACATCACTCGTGTTCCATGAACTCAGCTCTTGCGCACATCCCTTGAGGCATGTTTTCACCGGTTGCGCTCCTGTCTTATCCCCAGGAGGCTCACCCCAAACCCAGTTACCACCTGGTCGTTCCACCACCGATGTGGATTGATTGCTGTGTCCTCTTTTAAGGGAGGAATTGTTGACAAGGGTCATTTCGAGGTTGCAGTTCTGCTAGTTGAGTGTTGTGTTTTCTGACAGGTGTGTCTGATTGGATGGTGATGTTCTGCTGTGTGATTGGTGTGCTTTGAACCCTGCAGGACGGGAAGACTCTGTACAACGAGCTGGAGGTTGTGGAAGGCATGAAATTGGATAGGGGGTATATATCTCCGTACTTTGTCACAAATCCGAAGACTCAAAAATGCGTAAGTGTCATGCGCCATGTCGTCGCACGGTTGTGCGAGAAGTATTTAGTGCTCCTCGCGTGTCTTTCTGTGATTTGGCAGTGTCATGCGCTCTGTCGTCTGTGCGAGAGAAGGGTTAGTGGTCTTCGGGTGTCTATTTGAGATTTGAGTGTACATAGGTATGTAATATCCAGAGGGCAGATTTAGAAGAGCGATCTTGTAACAGCGAATATGACAGGCCTTTTATACATGAACAGGGTGATTAATGCGACTGCACTGATTGTCGGTGCTGGTTGTTAGGGGCACAGGGTGATTTCTGCAACTGCACTGATTGTCGGTGCTGGTTGTTGGGAACACAGGCTGCGGTTTTGTATTATGGAATGGCTTTATCTGATACATTATGCGTTTTTTTTCCTTTCCTTTTTTTAAACTAAGCTAACCTGTTTGCTATAAAAAGAAATAAAAGAAAGCTAACGTGTCTGCTTTGTGGTGGTTGCAGGAACTGGAGAATCCCCTCGTTCTCGTTTTCGAAAAGAAGATCTCCGGCCTTTCGTCAATCCTTCCAATTCTGGAGCAAGTTGTCAGGGTAGGTGTTATTACCATTCTGTGCCTCGGTACTATCGACAAGCACAAAAGACAAATCATGGCGGTGTATCTTCCATGTTTTAGCGGAAGATACATTATGAAAGTAGTGGAGCGAGGCCCTCTTGAGTTGTTTGTGGAGGCCCTCTGGGTTGTTTTTGTGCCAGTTCTGAATCATTACTGCCAAGTATCACCGACAAACAATTCTTCAATTGGTAAAACCTTTCTCACGCTAAAGACCATCATGGCCAATTTCTTAGTGGATTTGTTTGTCCCGTCTTCCTAAGAGTATGTATACATCTCGTGTATATTGCTTCAAATTTTCGTCAGATTTTTCCTGGATTCTCTTGAGATTCTCTTCAGATACTCGGCACTGTAACGGTGTTGATGCGGCGTTCCACTACGTCGTTTCGCACCGGGAGTATTTTGCAGTGCATTACTTGAGATTTTCAATCCTGGTGCGACATTCTTGTTGCACACCGTAGAGCGTCTGAACATACAGAAAAGCGAGAAGTTTGTCTTCATGTTCTGTCAACAACCACAGCTCCGTCTGTAAGTCGTATGGCGTACAGTCAAGGTAATCAAGCAGCAGAAGCAAGTGATGTGGCCTGCGTAGCAGCCCAACAGACAGCATCGGGGCGATTTAGAAGTTTCCTCTTGTGGATGTCCTCTGATGAGATGGCTGTGCTACATCTGAAGATGTGCAGCTCTCAGAAAATGCAGTTGCATATCGCTGGCGGACTTGGCTCCCAAGTGGAGGCTCACCCGTTTGAAGTACTTGCCAGCTCCCTTACCCTTTTGATTTAGGGTTTAACAGCAAAAAGCTATCAGGTTGGGGGTTTAACGGGATGAAGTGTTCTCAGTTATTGGGGTTCGGGTTTTAACCGGACACGAGATAGGACTCTCAGCTGGGTGAAGGTATCAGTATCAGATTCGGGGGGTTGAATTGGTGAAAATTGGCAGTTTCAGGAAGTTTTGTGGTTTGAGTAAATTAAATTGTAAGGTTTGGGAATTAGCTGGCCACCGTCGTCACCCCAATGGTGGATTTGAGCCAACTTTGATTGTTAATGATGGATTTGGGCCAACGTTGATCATTAATTGGGAATTAGCTGGCCACTGTCGTCACCCTAATGGTGGATTTGGGCGAACTTTGATCATTAATGCTGGATTTGGGCCAACTTTGATCATTAATGGTGTAATTTGTGCTTAAGTTCAGATACTGGTATACCGGCCGTTCTATTCGGGTGAAGATGGTAGAGCTATCAGTATCTCAGTTTCTCTTGTGTACTTGTAGCCAACTCTGAGCATTAGGTGGTATATCGCGCCCTTGTCCTTTCAATGGATACGAGCGAGTTTTGGATGTGAAGAACGTTAACGAGAATGATGTTGCTGTATCCGAGCTCGCCGGCCATCATATGCTTTTTGTTTCTTTTTTTGTTTCTTTTTTTTGTTCTTTTTTTTGTTTCTGTTTTCGTTTCTTTCTTTTGGTTCTGACGCTGGAATTGAATGGGCGGACTTGATCGTTGATGTTTTCAAAACGTTCGACAGGTTCAAAGGCCACTTCTTATTGTTGCAGAGGATGTGGAAAGTGAGGCTCTTGCGACTTTGATTGTCAACAAGTTGCGGGCGGGTGTGAAGGTAAGTTTTTTCGACACATTGTTGAGTGTGTGTGAATGTGCTCCAAATTTTTTTGATGGGTGTTTCTCTCTGAACTCTGTTTGAATCACGGAGCGGTGGGGTGGGGGGAAGGGGCATGGCGGTGGTAACATGTGTCTGTTGGAAGTGGAGGTGGGCAGTGATCCTCTCTCCTTTCGTTTCCTAGCTTGTGACATCTTTGTGGATATTGGTTAAAATATCTGATAACCAAATTTTGGCCGTTGGCATGTGATGAAGAAATTAGAGCATCAGGAGAATTTAGGACATTCATTATTTGTCAGGCAGGCCCTCTTAGAATGATGTGGCAAGGTAGGTTGTAATAAGATTGGTGGCAACCTTTTTTTTTAATCCCTAATCTGGCAAGTTGTGGAACTACGCGCCTCAATAGAGCGATGACGGTCATCTGTAAAGCTTTGTTTTTTTTTGTTTTTTTTTAATTCCTTAAGTGGCAAATTGTGCAAGTATGCAGTAGAGCCATGGCTGTCGTCTGTAAAGCTGTGACTTTATCCGTTGGTGATTGACATCTGTTTCTGGTGTATGATTGGGCGGACTACCTCTCAGCTCTGGAGTGGTGCTGGTATATTGTTTCTTAAACCACCAGTGCATGGGCCCAAGAGATTCCGATTGGGCCTCTCCTAAAATTTCGGAGGCTTGGCAATGGGCGGCCTCCGAAAGGGGCCCACGCCCGATGGCGGCTGGCGTGTACTGGTACCTTTAACTCCTGACTCGAGTTAGGTCTTTCTTCTGGTATGATTTTAGCACGTTTTTTTCTTTTGTGTGCAAACTGGTCTTTCTTCTGGTATGATTTTAGCACCTTTTTTTCTTGTGTGCAAATTATGTTGCCCTGACTGATCAGTTAAATATATATGAACGTGGTTAATGAACCCCTTCCTGGTGCAGCAACTTACAGGATGCTTGTGTTAGGCTTTCATACCATTTTTTGCTCAGCTGGGTGGCCGGGATCTGTTGCCATGTCCATGGTTGTACCCCCAGAACGGAGCTGATGTTATGTCCGTAGGATGTCTGCTGTGTACTCTTTGTCCAGCGCCATGGTGACAGATTCATGCGGTCTCGATTACGTACATGCGCGGGATCTCTCTCTCTCTCTCCTCTCTCTCTCTCCTCTCTCTCTCTCTCTGTCTTTGTCTCAGTGATGGGCTACTCTGGTGAAGGATGAGGAGAACCTTCAGAGTGCAAAATGGGCCATCGATGGTCTTCTGAGTTCATATCTTACACTAGGATCGATGGTCTTCTTAGTTCATATCGTACACCAGGAGATACGTATCCAGTTGTTTAGGTCTTGGGTGTGGGAGGGTAAGAGAGTGTGTGAAGATCTTTCGGAATGCAGGGAAGGGCCCGGAGCTGTCTGGTAACTTATCTTCTTGTTTGTTTGGCAACCTGTTTCTTTGCAGATATGTGCTATCAAGGCTCCTGGCTTCGGTGAAAACCGGAAGGCGAATCTTCAGGATTTGGCGGTCCTAACGGGTGCTCATGTATGTTGTCTCTTCGTTTCCCTTTTTCTGGTTTCCGCATTCCGTTTGGGGAGACCCTTTGAAACACTGGACCACATATTGCAGCCATTTCTCTGCACCGTTTTGCAATTCCATTCTGTATGCTGCAAGTGGCTGATGACAGCCACTTGTGCAGTTTTGTGGAAGTGCGCCCTGTTAACCTTCAAAGGCTGCAGGTTGGGTTGATGTTGACATCTTTCTTCTATGCTCTGCTTTAAACCGCCAGTGCACGGCCCCAGCCTTGCAAGGTGCAAGGTTTCTTTTTCATGGCTCACTCCTAAAATTTTTTGAGGTATGAGGCTACCGGTCCACAATGGCCGGCGGGGCAAGCCAGACAAGAAAAAGAGAACGTGTGCTGCCGGCGGTTGCTATCCTTGGTGCGCAGTGCGGCTCCGCCAGGACCGTGTGTACTGGTGGTTGAAGTTCGTGGATGTCCCTTTCGTGAGGCAGATGCCACCGTTGTGCTTCGGTTTTTTATTCCATTGATTTCTTTTTCTTTGTTTTAATATTTCTTGATGGTTTCTTTGTGAATTGGTTTTTATTAATATTTATTTTAATGTTTCTTTTTCTTTGGGTGAATATTTATTTTAATGTTTCTTTGTGAATTGATGCTCTTCTTGAGGAAGATGAATTTTTTTTTTCTTTTGTTCTCTTCTTTGGATGAGGTGGTTAACGCATATTTTCTGGTTGTGACTGTGCACAGTTGATTAGCGAAGACCTTGGTTATAAGCTGGAGAACGTGGAGATCGGTCAGTTGGGAACCGCAAAGAAGGTGAGTTTTGCAGATCGGTTCGGTTGGATTGAACTGGGGAACAAAACGGTGAAGTAGCCGGGAGGATATGACATTGTGTAAAGCGTTGCAATTGTCAAGTCTGAGTCTTCTGCCTACAGTCTGGGGTCACAGTCAGTTCGTGGAAAACCGACAGGACAGGAAACGTAGGCATGGGCAATGAAGATGTACCTGTCTGTATTAGTTTGGTCGGGATCCGAAGGAATCAGTCAGCATGTGCGGTGTTGTGTGTGTGTGATGTCTCGAGAAATGGTCGTGTATGGAATTAATGCAGATTCCGTATGGCTAGTGTGTTCTTAAATCATGCCCTTGCAGAGCATTCTATGCTGATGACAAGTATGTGATTGCTTTAACATATGCGTCTGTTGGGCTTATAACCGATTTCTTTGTCATTGGTGACTTTTACAGGTCACAGTCTCAAAGGATGATACCATTATTATGGACGGAGGCGGCGATAAGAAGGCTTTGGAGGAGAGATGCGAGCAGGTATGTAAAGATGCCTATTTTCTTTCGTGCACTGTTTGTTAATCCCCCCTTTAATTTGTTGCGAGTATCATGGACTGTGTAGATGTGATAAGGAAATTCTGCAGGTGTAATGCAATACGATACAAAGAAAATTCTGGGTAGCATGTGTTTTGGTGTTGTGCAAGAAAGTATGCATAATCTGTGTTTTCTCAAATTCCCCTCCGACGATCTCATCCTTGTTAGTATTTTGTAATACTTCAGGTTTACTTGTGTTATTAGGTCTTGATTTTTTTGCTCTTCGAGGTAACACCCGTTTGCTTATTGTGGTTGCTCTGTTGTGTTTCAGCTTCGGGATATGATCAGCAAGGCAACATCGGACTATGACAAGGAGAAGATGCAAGAACGCCTGGCCAAGCTTTCTGGTGGTGTGGCTGTTTTGAAGGTGGGTGGGTTGGGTGATTAGTGGATACAAGTGGAGTGGTGCTTTCACATTTAAAAAGTTTGAATGGCGGTTTGCTTGACGCCAAAAGGGTTGTGATTATTTAGTTTCCCCCCCCCCCCCCCCCTCGAGGCAGCAACGTTGGTTGGTTAAGGATTTAATCTTCGTCAGAAATTGGAGGGGGATTTTGGTACAGCGTATATCCAGGAAGCAAGCTATGAAACGAAGTACAGAATTTTGTCATTCGTGCGGCTCGTATCTCTGTTTTTACGGGAGAAGTCGAAGTGCATGAATTCTGTTGTCCTCCTTCTGTCGTTAGTTATTTGTTCGCTTTCCGGATGGCTGTTGGGTCTTGCGGTCGCTGCGTTTATTAGCAGACGAGTGGATGCTCTTGGTGATATGGCACACCTGGCTGGCGTCCACACTTTGTGGCTTTAAAGGAAGATACTTGGGCTGTACGGTACGTTAGTCCCTCTGCCTGAACTGCTGCATGTCTGCGCGTCTGAAGGGCCAGTTGTATTCAGTGACGTTTCTTTTGAGGCCGTGTTTGTTTTGCTGCCTTCCCCCCCGTGCCCCCCCCGGCCTCTCTCTCCTCTGTCTGAATCACCGTTTGATATCTTTTTTGTTTTGTTTTGTTTTGGCATTCGTGCATTATGTACATTCCATATTAATTATGTTTTTTGTGCAACTAACAGATTGGAGGGGCCAGCGAGGTTGAAGTTGCTGAGAAGAAAGACAGAGTAACTGATGCCTTGAACGCAACCAAGGCTGCCGTGGAGGAAGGAATTGTACCTGGTGGTGGGGTTGCTCTCCTCTATGCATCCAAGGAGCTTGAGAAGCTGCCGACGCCCAATTTTGATCAGAAGATTGGTGTCCAGATTATCCAGAGTGCTCTCAGGGTAAGTAGACAAGCTTCGCTCTCTTTTGCATCGGGACGGTAGCTTTCGCAATTGCACTGTAGAACCGACGATGCCAACGAGTGGACGGTCGATGCGGGGCATGCGATGGCCATTGTTTTCGAGTGTTTCCCTCGGACTTCCAGGCAACCTCAGGACGCGTAGTGTTGATAGCTTTGTTATGTTTCCAGAAAAAAGATTCTGTTTTTCGAATCCAGAAACCAGTACTACTAAAGTGGCTATACATACCAACTTTTTCGTGAGCTTACATGCCCCACGTCATGGGGATTTACTGCGGCTGTCAGAATTCAAGCTGTAGTCAATCTCTATTCACTCTCGATGCAATAGCAGTTATCGGTGACGGAATCGGGTGAGTGTAGGGGTGTTGAAGAGTAGTTGCGGGTCCGAGAACGGAGACAGGAATGTGTGCCATGTGGCTTCTTGGTTGTCGTGTAGAGAATGGGTCGTCTTCACATTCTGTTCTGAAATATGAAGATCTGTTTGGCTTTCTAAAGGTCTAAACTGATATCCTAGGTCGTCGGAGGGCATTTCGTTGTTTTGTGTTGTTTTTTTGTTTTTTTGTTTTTTCGTTTTTCCGTTTTCTTGCTTTCTTCTCGGTTCCCAGGAATGTCTTACTGGATTTGAAGGGATCGATCGATCAAACGTTCGATTGTCGTGTAGAGGATGGGCTGCTGCCTTTGCACTCTGTTGTGAAGTATGAAGATCTCGTAGGCTTTTCTAAACTCTGATATCCTAGGTCGTTGGAGAGCGTAGTTGTTTTGTGTTTTTTTTTTTTTTCCTTTTTTTTCTTCTCGGTTCGTAGGAATGTCTTCCTGGAACTCCAGGGGGATCAAACGTTCGCTGTGTAGGTCAGCAATTGCAATGTTTCAATTGTGTGGACGGACGATTAAGTGCCTGTTACATTTTTTGTCTCTGATGGACCTGAGCGCACCGTTAGTTTGCTTATGGTAATGTTTGGCTGCTTGTTTTTGCGGAATCCGATAGTGGGTACATGCTCGATGCAAATGTTTATTTGGAATTTCGGCCAGATGGTCGGTTCCGCAGGAATCGCTGATGGGCATGTTTTGTGTGATCTGTGTATTTTTTCCGTTGTTGCAGGTGCCTTGTTTTACTATTGCCCAAAATGCCGGTGTTGAAGGGGCTGTGGTGGTTGGCAAGCTGCTCGAGAGCAACAACCCCGATATTGGATACGATGCATCCAAGGGCGAATACGTGGACATGGTTAAGGCTGGAATCATTGATCCTGTAAAGGTGATCCGAACTGCTTTGGTGGATGCTGCCAGTGTTGCTTCGCTCATGACGACGACGGAGGCGATTATCGTAGAAGCACCCAAGGAGGAGAGGGAGGGTATGCCGCCTGGCATGGGCGGGATGGGTGGAATGGATATGGGGTACTGAGCAGGTAACCCTTGATTTGTTTTTGTGGCTCTGGATTGAAAAGGTGGGGCGTTTTCTTTTTTTTTTTTTCCACTTTTCTGGTAGATCGCATCTGGGGATTTTGTCACTGTGCCGATCTCCATGGAGATTGCATTTGATCCCACTGATGTGATGCGGGAGTTGAGGTGAGGTGGGGGTGCATACATGCTGCTGCAACGGAGTTTTGGTCGTCGAGTGTAGCTGTAGAAATGTGTGTTAGCTTTGTTAATAGGAATCTTCAGCCGTGTTGATCTTCGTCTTGGCAGCACGTTTTTTAAGCTGTCGCCATCCGTTGGATCTGCGTGAGAAAAGCTTTTAGATGATCTTCTCCTCTTTCTTAATTCGTGCCCTGTGCCGTGGCCACGCAGAGTGGCACTGTCTGTTTTCCGATGGGGTCCTTTACTGCATTGGCATTGACGACCCTTTCTTTTAAGGGACGTGCACCTTGATATCGTTGTCCCGCCGGAGAACAAGCGGCAGCAACTTGTGTACACAACCCTCATGTCCAGGAGTTGTTGTTGGTGTTGGAGAATTCTTTTGGATACAAATTCGAATCGATGTCAGGACCTGCTGCTGTGAATTTAAATCTCTCTGGTGGAAATTATGATGTCGATGCGGGACTCACGGCGTCGTCAGATGCTGCCTCTGTGCTTGTTTGGTCTCCCATAAAATGCGTCTTTGCTGACGTCAATGTTGTGTTGTGATGTTTAGTGAAAGGTATCAAAGAATCTAATCCTCCCAATGTTGTGATGTTTAGTGAAAGGTAACCAAGGCCATCATATTTTCATTCTTAGCATTTTTGTTGCGTTAGCATCATTTTTTCATTCTTAGCATTTTTGTTGCATTACCCTACGAAAAAAAATAATCTTTCTTTTTTTTGTTGTTCACTTTTATTAATCCTCCCACCATTTTGGAAAGGTCCAGTAATAGACGCTTGCTTGTTTGTTGCAAAAGCAGTAGCGTGTGGATCACCGGAGTAGGAAAATTTGGTCACATAGATCTTGTATTTTGCTGCAATTTTTTTTGCCTAAATTTGTTGGTTACTATGCACAAGTTTATAACGTAAAATATCTTGTTGGTTAACAGATTTTGCTGAAGATGTGGTTGGTCATAAACTTGGAGAAATTGCTTTTACACGGAAAACTTCCAAATCAACGGTTCCAAATTTTCAACGTCATGATGACACAATTGAAATACGACTTTGCTTTCCTGCTGATTGCCCACGAATACTGGGTGGTTGTTCCTCAGTGTGAGAATTTGACTTCGGAGAACAAGATTCATATAGGCGTTCCCAGCAAATAGCCCAGTGGTAAGAGACTTCCGATACAAAGAAATATCTATCTATCGATTCTAAAATTAATGGGCCTGGAGGTAGTATGTCCGTCATTTTACGACCATCATTTTATGAAATATGTATCGATACATATTTCATAACCACCCTTTTCTTTTCTAATAATCCTTTCTTCTTACCGAGGAGAATTCAGAGATCCTGTAGTACTAAGAATTGTCGTCTGCGAACTCTTGAGGGAATCAGCCTAAAACCGTTCTGTTCGGACAGTGAGTGAGGTCTCGAACAATCAACACGATCTAGACTCCAATCTCATACTGAATTCGTCAGACAGGATCGTGTTCGTATCTCAGTCAAAAAAAAAAAAAAAAAAAAGAAGAAGAAGAAGAAGAGATTGGATATGGGAATGACTGGGCCGTATGTAAATAAGAAAGAGGTGCAGAGTAAACGGATCTGCAAGAAACAAACAAACATGCGAGGCAAGGCGAATGGTTCATTAAGCGCTCTTATGTATTGTCATCCAGATGCATTAGTTTTTCCTTATTAAAAGAAATCAGTCAATTCAAAAGTAAGTTTTTTTATTGGGAAACATGTTCAAAAAGTCAATGATGAATCATTTTGACTCTCTTTTATTTGATTCTCTTTTATATTTAGAGAGGAAGATGCTACAGGTAAGTGCTCTATATGTATTGCCATGCTACTGGTGTGAAAGTCTGCGTGAATTAACTACAGTCGTTTAGTGATACATTCAAAAGGCAAAAGATAGTTGTTGATTATTGATATATTTAAAAATAATATTTTTATTTTGCATTTTGTATATATATAGTTAAACAGAGTATTAACATTTCCAATGTCTTCCTGATCCTTGTTATTTCTAGCAAATTTTTCTTTTGCCTCGTCTAGTATGTAAATGTTTGGTGCGTATTTTTTCCAACCATCCTGATTTATGTCGTAGATTAACAGATCATGGTTTTGAGGGTCATCCGGTAAAAAAAGACTTGAGTGGATATATGTAAGTACGATACGATGATTCAGAGAAACGTTGTGTGATTTCTGAGCCAGCCGTCGGTGATTGTTGGTGAGGCTGTTTTGTCGGTCTATGGGTCCGTGTCTCTGGTTCCAGTGCACACAGTACGCACATGATGATGCAGTACCGACGGTGACGTCAATGTCGTAATGCTTCTTACAGCTGTTGGTGATTGTCGGTGATGCTTTGTTGTTGCTCGGAGGGTCTGTGTGTCTGTTTTCATTGTTTGCACACGGTGCATAGATGATGATGCAGTAGTGAAGGTGACGTCAATGTTGTGATAGAATGTGTACCGTGAGTCATGGGATGAGGCAAAGGGCGAGAGAGAGGAGGGGAGAGGTAGGAGAGAGGAGGAGAGAGGTGGGAGAAGAGGAGGGAGGAGAGTCGTGGGATGTTGGCGGGATGTTGGTCAGCAAGTTCTTGCATTTTGTCTTCGTCCTCATGCGCTTCTCCTTTGTTTTGCCCTGCCCACAATCTGCAACTGGCTGAACTGCAAGGGCAACTCCCACAGGGTCTGTTTTCCTCCGAGTGTCATTCCCATGCCCACAGGTTGTGTTATCGGCGGAGGTTTGGTTTCTGAGTACATCAAGAATGGAAAATATGCACCCTTTAAATACACCAAGAATGGAAAATATGCACCCTTTAAATACACCAAGAATGGAAAATATGTACCCTTCAATATTGTTCGTAAGTTCGTGTTCCAGTCAATCAGTGACTCCACGCCCGAAGGAAACATGGGGCGTACTTACACTTCTGAATATATCTGACCGTAATTACGGTCGGACCCGAAGAAAACGGGCTCTCAGAAAGAAGTCCCGTATATGCCCTTGTAGCCGCGGGTCTGACCTTGGGGCATCCGTGACGGTTGGAGCGACACACATAAATCGAGAAATAGTCCTCTTTACAGAAAAAAAAAAACAAGTCTGCAGAATGAATCTTTCCCTAGAAAACGGAAGTATACATACTGGGTGGAGCGAGGCCGATTGTACGTAGATAAGAAGACCACCATGTCAGACGGTGATAGGGAAGTCGCAGAGAGAGGGAGAGAGAGAGAGGAGCAGTTTGGCCTGTCGTTTTTTGGAGCACATGGTGATCTCCTTTTCTGGCCGGAGTACTTCGAGCTTTGTCTTTGGCCAGTGGTTTCTTGGAGCGCGTGGTGATCCTGTTTTCTGCGGCGATTGCGGCCAGATAGGGGAAGAGTCCGGGGAGGGGAGAGAGAGAGAGAGAGAGAGAGGTGTACTAATGGAGTAGTACAAACGTGCGTACTATTTGAATGTGTGTACTACTTGGATTTTTGGGAGCTACTTCGAAAATTGAGTTTTCGAGCGAAAGTTGAAGAGTACGTATGTGCCTTTTGTTCGGGGGAACACTGTAGTGTGAGTATGCTCTAAAAGACTCACGCAGCTCACCTTTTCTGCAGAATCGGGAAATGTGCCTTCTTGACTTGCAAGAGGTTGTAACCCAACCCACTATCTGGTCTCATTCATGGCGGCCCCCTGTTTCTGGAATAAAGTTTCAAAATTCTGATTTTCTTTCGTCATCATCTCCCACCTATCGAGACTCGAGCCGTTGGAAACCAGTGGTGATTGACGAAGGAGATTCAAAGCATTACTGTGCGTTTTGCGATGTCTTCCGACTTTCTGTTTGACGTTTGTAAATATAGGGAGAGGTGAATGCAGACCTCGTCCACTTGGATACACCATATGGCCAGATTCATGCGGTCAACGAGACTGGCGTCTGTTGCGATTTCTTCTTGTTGACATGGTCGGTTTGTTAAATACAGGCAGTTGTCGTCATGGAGGTTGTCGCATGCACATACATCTTAGGCAGGAGTTTGTCATGCCTAAGGTGGATGCACGTGCCTACTTCAAAAGATTTGATCGCGCAAAAGCGGCGGAGGTGTGGTAGACTTAATGTTGTCGGGAATGGGGTTTCTGGTAAGGGCGGTGCAAGTTGATGACGCGTTCGTCATGCGGCAATGTTATTATATCCGGTTATTATATCCGGCGATGCTGTGACACAATTTGACACATGTCCCTGCGGCAGTCTTTTACTACTCGGTTCTGTCTGTGAGATTCTGTCTATGAGCAACGCTTCGGTTGCAATGGATGGAGACCAAGGGCCTCGCTCCACTACTCTCGAAATATGCAAAACGAGAGTGAATCTTCTGCTAGAACACGACCAGATGCACCCACCATATTTTTGGCTTTTGTGCATGTCGAGAGTAGTGGAGCGACGTCCCAAGGCAGCAAGCAAGGCAGATGTTGATTTTTATTTTGTTACTAGCGAAAGATTTTTATTTTGTTACTAACGAAAGATTTTTATTTTGTTACTAACGAAAGATTTTTATTTTGTTACGAACGAACTTGTTTAAAAGTTATTTTATTAAGTTTGAGCTCACTATGTTGGGAGGGAGGGGACACTTGGTGGATGCAGCCCATGCGAAAACCTTTTTGGTTTTCTGCATTAGGGCAGGCCTGCCGGAAAATGAGTCTGGCATAGATACAGCGCCAGGTTCATAATCTTGGAGAAAATGGTGATTCGCCCAGGCGTTGCGACCCCAACTTTGGCTGCCAGAGGGTCAAATGGAGGTGGTGGAATATGAATCTGGTGGAAATACGGGGCCAGGTTCATAATCTGGTAGCAAGAGGTCGGGAGGACCAAATCTAGGCCTCCGTACTCTTTTACATCCAATGGGGCTGCGATGCACGTGAACTGAACCGCTTCTCCTATGCCCGTGAGCCGCCTTCTACCAAATGGCCAAAGTTTGGGCGTGGCACGGATACAAAGGGTGATGAAACATGCCAAAGAGCTGAGGAGAATCTCTCTTTGCCTGCACGGCGGCGGAGCAGCCAGATTACATGCAAGTACCTGAACGCTTTGCAAGCCAGGTGGAGACTGGCAGGACTTGTTTTCGGATCTTTTCTTTTCTAGACGACGACAAGCATCGATGGGAGACAACCGTCCTCACCAGGTTTAACGACCAGGGCCCGTGCGACCGGAGGACTCGCCGGGGATGGAGAACGGCGCAGCTCCTCTCCCTGGCCCGGCGACAGAATAATTGACTGGAGATTGCATGGCTGCTGTGGTCCCATGCAACATGTTGATTTCTTTTTTTTTTTTCTTTTTTTTCGGTGAAATATAATAACGACATGTTGAGAAATTATGTATACAGTTTGCTGTTTACAAAGTACTGGACGCCTTGGGGGTGGTAGGCCCCACTGGCGCTATGTTCATCCTCTTACTGCTCGTACAATGAACTTTAGCATAAACGGTGGCCGGATAATAGAAACGGAGTACCGGTTGGGCTCTGAATGCAGACCTCAACCATTTGGATACACCATATGGCCAGGTTCATGATTTATAATATAAACGTGGCCCGACCGGTGTACATATGGATACACCAAATGGACACACTTTTAAAGATCTCAACCTTTTGGTGTATCCATATGTTCACGTCCTTGCTCACACTGGGACTTTTGTCAACGTATCTGTGGACGTAATTCCGGCCTCGTGCATGTAACATG